CCCAGACGAGGGGGGGCCAGACTGCGGGGGGTCGTGGCCGCGAAGAGGTTCTTTCTGGACGCAAAAGGGTTAATTAGAGTTCCCCTGTCCCGGAGGGCTCGTGTGGCAGGGGATGGTGTGTGAGGAAAGCAAACCAGAGCGGGTATGCCTAGTGACCCCGCGAAGCCCCTTCGAACCCCAGACCCCCCGAGGCGGGGGGAGGGGGCGGCGCGGGGCCGCGTGGTCCAGCCGCCACAGCTGCTTTGTAAAGTGTCAGCCAGAGCGAAAGCGAGAGTTTAAAGAAACAGGAGGCCCATTGACTGTCCTGCGGGGGCTGGAACAGGCTTTGCTAGCTAGTTTGTTTTTGTTTGTGGGTTTTTGTGGGGTTTTTTTTTTCTTTTTTCCCTGCTCGCGGGTGTGCTTTAGCATTAACCCTTCGCACCCCTTTCATTAGTTTACATCTTATTTTGCAGTTAACATCATGTTATTAACGGGATAGATGCAAAGAAAGAGAGCAAAGCATACTGGTTAAAAGTACAGATTCTGTCGCCAGACTGGACTGGAATGCCACCCACCCCACTAAACAGTTACATGACAGCAATTTCTTTAATCTCTTGGTACCTCAGTTCGCCAGCCATCAAATGGAGAGAATTGTAATGACTCCCTTATAGGTGTTGTATTGGATTAAATGAGTTAATACTGCAGACTTAAAGAACTGAGATCAGTGCCTGGCTCAAAATACATGACTTTATGAGAGATGAGTGTGTGTGTGTGTGTGTGTGTGTGTGTGTGTGTGTGTGTGTGTGTGTGTGAGAGAGAGAGAGAGAGAGAGAGAGAGAGAGAAGAGAGAGAGAGAAGAGAGGAGAGAGACACTCTGGCGGGGTGTCTCAGTTGGTTGGAGCATCTTCCCAAACATCAAAAGGTTTGGGTTCAATTCTAGTGAGGACACATACCTAGGTTGCTGTTTGGATCCCCAGTCAGGGAGAGCAAGAAAGAGAGGGGAGGAGAGAGTCCTAGATCAAATGGAGGTTTTGGTTCAGTGTTCTAAGTGCAAAAGGTCTCACTAGTCTCTTCTTGTCCACTCTGTTCCATGCTCTGAGGAGTTTATGGATGCCATCCATAAGTACTTTGATTTTGTCACAATACTGGATTCCGATAAACTTCTCTGCTAATTTGATGCCAAATGAATGGCTCTCTCATGGTCACTTAGCTGGTGAAAGGGACATCAGGAAGGAAAATCATGTTTTTTCCAAGTCAATACTCAATTTGCTTTTTCTTTCAGAATATGCACATATATATTCAGAATTATATGTAAATATATAGAGATCAAGATCTTTGCTCTCCCAGCAGGTTCATTTCTTCTCAATATATGTAGGTCACCAAGAATATTTAACTTCTATGAAACATTACATATAAATTAGAGTACCTGGGACACTGTTTAACATTAAGTTAGACAATTGAGTATTCTTATCAAAATTTGATTTTCATTTAATTGATGTTGATTTTTTTCTGTCTGCATCCTTAGTGAGGTTACAATGTCAGGAATCTATGTGGAAACCTTCCTAAAGCGATACTTTGCGCAACTCCAATTCTCATTATATATAAAATTATGGGGAGCCGAGCAGAAGTCATTTACTTTCACATTAGAAAAATGGGTGTCTCCTGTTTCTCTGAGAAGAAACAAGTCCCCACCTCTCCCTGGTATCATATTCTTCTTTTTTCCTTTATTATTATGTGTGCAAATTAGCAGTGTTTATTTTCCTTGTTGCCATCAATGCTTTGCCCTCCTGAATGAAACTATATACCTTCAGGGGAAATTTGATGCCCAAAATTGAAAGGGAACCAAATAATAATTCAGAGTGAGTCTGGAGAGGATTTTGTCCATCTCCATCTCACTGGTACTGCTCCATTGTTTCATTTTACTCATATCTGAATCTTATTCTGAAGAGCTGACCTCATAGAAAGTAAGTATAGAGAGAAGATGAAGGTAAGCAAAAGTCAATCATGCATGATGATTTAGTGCCCAGACTAAGAAAGAAAAACAGATCCTAATATATAAAAAGCCAGGGGCCGTCACTACCAACACAACTGGACGGATGACTGAACAGCAGGCTGCATGGGGCAACCAGGCCAGCAGTGGGGTTAGTAAAGGACAACCAAACAACTGAACAGCAGGCTACGTGAGGCAACCAGGCTGGCAGGGGGGGCAGTTGGGGTCAACCTGGCTAGCAGGGGGAGCAGATAGGGGCAATCAGGCAGGCAGGCAGGTGAGCAGTTAGGAGCCAGCGGTCCTGGATTCCGAGAGGGATGTCCAACTGCCGGTTTAGGCCTGATCCCCGGGATTGGGCCTAAACAGGCAGTCAGACATCCCCCAAGGGGCCTCGATTAGAGAGGGTGCAGGCTGGGCCGAGGGGACCCCCCCACCACCATGCACGAATTTTGTGCACGGGGCCTCTAGTGTCATTATAATAAACTTAGGCTTCGATGCTTTGCCTTAAATGTCAACCAATAAGTTTTTGTAAAAAATATATCTTTTTCTTTACATTATAGTAAGCAACCAGTGATTAAAATATATTTAAGATAATATGTTCAAAGTGAAATTGAGTTGGTTACTCAAATAATCCTGGCTAATTAAAAAAAGTGTAAACCTTCCTTGTGGCCTAAATGATTTAAGTTTGCCATATACATTTTACCACAGAATTGTCTATTTCAATTTCATGGAGAGAAATTAGGATTTCTTTGTGGAAAAAGTTTAATCTTCCATCTTACTGTAGTCATAAGAACTAAACTGCTGTTTTGTTTTTCTTTGTTTCTCCCCCCATTCCCTCGCAACACACACTGGTTTTATATTAGTTGCCCTCTCAATGAACAAGCAGATCAGAATTCACAAAAGAGTACTGTTTATCTGTGGGGAGTTCTCTGTTTCCCCACCTGTTGCAGATGGAAGTGGGCTTCTTGTGATATCACAAGAAAAAAATAATTTTAGGAGACTCACGCAGGACAATGAGATATCCCGGAAATCTATATTTCTGTGGAATCAGACCCCTGAGTTTCCAAGGTCCCATTTCCCTTTGTCCCACCAAGGAAAAAGTCCCATTTCATTTTCAGCAGGGCTAAGATCAAAGCCAGTGTCCAGAGTTCCCACTCAATGTTGGGGAACAGTCCAATCCAGCATCAGGCGAGCTTCGTTTGTGTTCCCAGTTGCAGTCTATCAGTCCATTGCCTGTGGGATCCTCAGGGCCACATGGCTATGGCGGGAACACAGGCCAATGCAAGAGAGCCACATAAGAGCCAAGAGCGCCAAGAGAGAGAATTCCTTTGTCTGGGGGATTATGTATTCCCAAATTTCCATGGCTTGCAGTGGCCCTCACCCCCTCGGGCCAATGATTTCTGCTCTGAGGTTTGGCTGGCAGCACACACCTTCTCTACATCACCCCAACTTCACCGTGCATGTGCCCATCTCCTCTTTGTCCAGTCCTTCCCCCAGTGATCTTCAGGGAATAGACCGTGGTTCCCTGGGGAATGTGAAGTTGCAGCTTCCTGGTGAAGCTGCCCAAATGACCAATCTTATAATGTCTGACCTTCTCTTTGCTTTTTTCCTATTCCTAATAACTAGCTAATTACAGTGGTCTCAGTGCCAGTTTAGTTCGTTGTGTATGACAAAGATGTGGAATTCACAGAACATTCCCTCATTTACGATCTTAAGATAATATTTCAGAATCACTCTCAACAACATAGAACTGTAGTCAGACATTAACAGATATGAAACCCGTTTGCAACCCAATCAACACCAACTTTCGGAGAGGTTTTTAAACAT